AAGAGAAGAATTGAAAGATTCAAGGGATGCTTTTTCAGTAAAAGCAAAAGAAGACAAAACTCCTTTTCTTTTTTTAGTAAGGCATAACACTCTTGAAGCAAAGATAATTCTTTCCACAGCCGCTCTACTTCAATCGAAGAAGACCTCGAAGTTATTTTCTTTTCAGTACTAATTTTCTTAGAATTCAGCTCTACATGAGGAGAAGCCCTCTTTCACCAAAAGTCTCCCATCATTGCTATAAGGAAAACAGAAAATGTCAAAATACTCTAATTCAGAAGAAGAAAGGCTCGAACTAACAAAGGCAAGAACAGGAAGAGAACTGGCAATAGCAAAAGAAGAAACTGTCACGGCCTCAGCAATAGTAAGAGAAATTTTCGGATCACCTTTGACAATGGGATCCACCCACACCTTAGCAATATCTGGGGTAATTGAAGCAATAAATGACAGATTCTAAAGGATCCCCCTCCAACAAAACAAAAAAATGGCAAAGTAGAAGAAAGAAAGCAAGAATAGTGGAAGAAAAGAAGGAAGAAAAATCAGAGAAGAAAGAAGAGGAAATCAAGAAAGAGGAAGTTAGAGAAACAAATTAGAAATAAAATAATATATATAAGGTGAAAAAGGAAGAAGAAGGGGACAAAACCGAGAAACATAGGTGCTACAAATCATCGATACAAACTCACAAATAAAAGGTGGACATGTGTCAAAAAGCCTGTAAGGGGAAATGACTACACTAGCAAAGAAATCTTGAAGAAAATACAACTAAATACAAATAAATAAGTTAGGATACCTGTGCAGCATATGGAAATCCAGCATAGAGCACTCCAAAAGTTGTGAATACAAGGAAAAACTTGTGTTGCACTATTTTTTCCTTAAGCTAGTTTTTTTATCCCACAGGGTTTTTATTAGCTAAGGGTTTTAATGAGGCAGCCATGGTCGCAAAATCTTTGCCATAAAAAGATGGAACCTCTTAAAGGCAAAGATATGAAAAAACTATGTATAATTTGGAGTCAAGTTACAAATAGCAAAACCAATGTGAAGATGAGACTCAACAAGTTCTTGTTACCCTCAAAGTTCTTCATTGGGGGGCAAATGTTATACTCTAAATTGAGTCCTATGAGAATTAGGACATTTGGAAACATCCGAAAAATAGTCCTATTAAGATTAGATATGTTAAATCTCATTAGAATTAGAAAACCCAAATACTAATCAAATAGAGTTCTATTCCTAGGATAACTTTATGTAAATATCTTATAAATACCTCAAGGATCAACCTAAGGAGAGAGATTATTTTCTCCACTTTCTCTCTATTGTAATATTAATAAACTTCTCGATTCTATACTGTCTATTTTTCAGTGTTAACACAACCCATGTGGTTTTTGTGTTTAGTTTTTGCAATTTCTTCAATAGTAAAATGGCACATCTAATGCTCAAGCTTATACATTCATTTAGGTCCCTTAAAGCAACCCTCGTTCTTGGAAATAGAATCCCTAAACTTTTAAAATATTTTCATTTAAATCTCAAAACTTCTAGTATTATGCATTCAAGTCTTTTTTTCATTAATAATGAAAATTATGTAAAATTCATTAAAAATCCCATTTACCCATCCAAATAGTAACAAAAATCAACTCCTAATACCTTTGCAATATCCCCTTCAAAAAACATCCATCAACGCCAAAAAGCCTCTTGCATCCATCCATCCAACCTTGCTTCAGTGAATGCAAACCAATGTACATCATATCAAAAGTACAAAAGCCCTAATAAGTCAAAAACATCAAATTTTTTTTGTTGTTCGAAGGGACTGACCAACTCTTTATCTTTTCTTCTAAATCTTGTGTTAGTTATAATACTTATTTATTTGATATAAAAAGATTAAGAATCTCAATGAATGATCACTTATTCTCTTCAAATTCTCTAAGATATTGGTAATTGTGGTTATGTCCTTGCATCTACCTTTATGCTTTTAGGATATTGGTTTTTTTTTTTTTTTTAATTTGTCAGTGGGTTAGGGGCCGAGGAAAGGGTAAGCAGAATTTTTTTTTTTTAATTTGTTAATGCTGAAATTTGTTAATGGGTTAGTAGACTCAACGTAGGTTGAGTGTCGACACTATATTCGTATGTTCCGACACCATCTTTTACGACTTTGCCATGTAGGCAACATTTGTCCACATCATGTAAAAAGTGCCACATAGGCATAACGGTTGACAGAGTGATGGAAGTCTGTCAAATTTGAATATTATCACTGGATTTTAAAAATCGAGGGGGTTGACAGTAGGTAAAAATTTATGAGGATATTGAATGTAGATAAAAATATTGTATACGATACAAATAAATGAGTTTAACTTTTTTACGTTTTGGTCTTCTAATTTTTAATTTTTTAAATTATTTAATAGCCAAAATTTTAAACATGAAACCCTAAATCCTAAAAAATCTAGACCCTAAACACATTAAGCTAAATTTGAAAAATTCTAACCCTTAACATTATAAATTATAGAACCCAAACAATTTCAATCCACATGCCTTAAATATTAAATACTAGAAAAATTTAAATATTAACTCTAACATCCTAAACACGAAATCATAAAAATGTTAAACCCTAACAGCACGTTTGGGAGACCGGACAAGTCATGGGATGGGATAAAAATTAGTCCCATCTTAGTGTAACCTGCGTTTGGTGGTGCCATGGGATTGGATAAAATGCATCCTACATTTTGACCTTTCCAAACCTTATGAGATAAAAGCCATCCCACCT